GAAAAGTAATCCGAGGAAATAAACCTGTGACAAGAGATGATGATGATGATGATGATGATGATGATGATGATGATGATGATGATAATAATAATAATAATAATAATAATATTAATAATCAGTTTTCCAGACATCCACAAGATGGATACAGAACTTTTCCTCACTCAGTACATACAGACCAGTTACAAAAGTTGTTTACATGGAACATTACAACAGTATAAAATATAAATAGCTAAAGCCTTACATTACATAAATAAAAAGTCAGAAACATGTCATTTAAGAACAGATAGGTAGTTCTGTAGCCAGACTTGGGAGTCAAACAGGATTGAAGGGTGTACAAACCACTTTAAATTAGCAACAGCAACAACAAGAACAAAATGACATTGTGCCACAGTGAACCTGTATACATACAATGACTTGAAAGCCTCAAATCTGAATTTGTGGTGAACTTCAAGAAGACTGAAAGCACAGTGTTTCCTCTGGTTGAAGGTACCTGTACCCCATAACTTCTTTTTGTTTGTATGTGTACAGATGCATCTAGCCAAAATTGATCTCATTTTGATTTTACAGTTTGGCAGTCATGGGGTAGCATGCCTGTCTTTCCAAGTTCTCCACTTACATCTGGTGAACATGGACCATGCATGGACCATGACCATGAAATGCTGCATCCTGTAGTCATGTCAACATGGATGCCAGACAAAGTAGGCGGAATGCCTGGAAAGAGCCTTGTATTTGCAGAAACTCAAGTGAGTTCATGAAACCTGTATCATTGTTCACAGTGTATGAACCTGTTAAGGCCCAACCATTACTCATTCGTTCATTATAGAATCTGCAAAAAAAATATATATTTCTCTTTTCAGTACCGGACTTCCTTTTTCTGTTAGTGATAGAAAAGTAAACATTAGGCAGGCTGAGGACTAGTAACCTGGATTTTACAATTAATATTTTGTACATCAGGATTGGATTTAATGAGAGTGACTCAGGCAATGGCCCTGGGGCCTCCACAAGACAAATGGAAGTGTTGCTTGAAGATGGCACTAGAGTCAACTCCTGCAATATTGTGTATATCAGATATATCCTAGACAATGGACATTGCCTAACATAACATTTGCATAATGTGTCAACCATAATTATCAACCTTTAGAGATGTGTCACTGATGTCCATATCTTCAAACGTAAAATTAAATTGTTTTTCCTTACTTTCCAGATTTTACAAGAAAGTATTCGGATCCCTGGATCATCTCTACATCTTATGTACCAAAGCAGCCAAGCCCCTGGTTACTTGTCGAGTGTCCTTATGCGGCTTACTGATGCTTCAATCCCACCCACACTAACACATGTTCATGTTCGTGTTGAAATTGAGGGCTCAGTCCACACGAAAACATATGAAGCTGACCCACATCTCGTGCACACATTTGCTTGGAACAAACGCAATGTTTACAAACAGAAGGTAAGTTTAGTAAGTTTATCTGATTTCACACAGACGAATATTTAATTTTAAATGAATGTGTGCATAACAAGATTGGCTGATTTACATGTTTACCCAAATGTACTGCAGCTCAATAGAAAACACTTAATGGTTAATGAGAAATTTGTATCTGTGTCCAACAACGACCTCGTGATTTTGAAAGAGGGGAGATTGTAAAAGAGATACTGGTCACTGATTAAGTATTCTTGGTTTCTTTTGTGTGAGAACTCCATTGGGTCTGTACATATATTTTGTATTTATATGACATATTCCACATCCTACAGTCATTTTGGCTAACTTTGGATCCATGGAATGCAATGCAATGTAATGTACTGTAATATAATGTAAAAGTGATGATTCTGCTTGTATCAGGTCTCAGAACTTTAATAAAATGCCCTTGCATGTGTTGTCTATTGCAGGACTTGGGTACCATCACTTCAGAACTCATACGTTGAATCCTATTGACAATATTTAAGAACACAGAAACTACAGTTTACCATTGTTGATTTTAAATGTTTATTCATTATTGTTCCTTTTTGTTAATGTATGCATGAAAAATTTCTTCATTGTCAAGCACATTTTGTAATGTAAAAGGACATATTTCATTCAAATTTCATAATTACAGTTATATTTTCCATTCTTGTCACAGTATAGAAGCAAATAAGGTAATTTCAATAATAATATTTTCTGTTGTATTTCCTAATATAATATCTAGTGGATTTGTGTGTTATGAGGTGGGCAGGGCATGTAGCACGAATGGGGAGAAAAGGAATGCATGTAGGATATTGGTGGGAAAGCCAGAAAGAAAGAGACCACTGGGAAGACCAAGACATAGGTGGGTGGACAATATTAAAATGGATGTTAGAGAGGTAGGATGGGATGGGAGGGTATGGATTGGGTTGGTCTGGCTCAGGATAGGGACCAGTGGAGGGCTCTTGTGAACATGGTAATGAACCTTCGGGTTCCATAAAATGCTGTGAAATTCTTGAGGAGCTGCAGATTTGACTTCTCCTCAAGAAGGTCTCAGCTCCATAAGCAGAAAAGAAAAAAAAGTGGAATTATTGTTACTGCCAGCACTGGGCTCACAATTTGACCCTTTTACTGTCAAGCCCCTGCTACAAACACTGAGCCTGCTCAAGGGTAAATCCAGTTGCACAGAAAGCCCACACTAGTTCATTAGATTACCTTAAATGGACACAGATACAGCTAAGTGAAAGCCTATTCTTTCCCCTAATAATTGGCATATCCCACTGGATACCATCTCTTGACAGAAATGCTGTATTAAGTGATTAACATTGAGCAGATCTCTTCAGCTGTGGCAGTTTTAATGCAAGTACAATATCCTGCAGGTGTATGGTGTGGCACAAGCCCGCATTTCAGTTGGGTACCAGTATTCGAGCTGCCCTGCTGTAGTTTGGGAGACACAGACTGCAACATTACAAGGCTTCGATGTGGACATCTCTGATGTGGGTGGTTGGAGTCTCGATATCCATCATCATTACAATTTCCATGAAGGTAACTTATAATACTATAACTCATTTAAACTGATGTTTTCTGGGTTATTACATCTTCTAATTTTGCAAATTTTATACCATTTTTCCAGAGGAATCTGACACCTCTGTTTTCATGGTAAATCCTGGTGAAGGATTACAGTTTTGGTAAACAAGGAAAATGAAGTGAACCCCATATTTAATGTTTCTTTGGGAAACAGTGTCTTTGAACACTAAACAAAGGGGAAATTTAAATAGAAGACATTTAACACTGACATCATTGAAATTGAATTTTAATTGAAAAAATCTGAAATCAAGGAACATAAAGTATAATGTTCATTGGGATTTGAGGTTCTTTTATCTTTGATGCGAATCTGTGTAGTCTGACAGATGTCTTCTGTAATATCAATAGTGTTCATTATTATGTCCAGTCATTAAATTTGCATGTGAAGAGAAAATTTATACCAATTTATGTATATTTTCTCTTCACATGCAAATTTAATGACTGGACATAATAATGAAATTCGCATGTGAAGAGAAAATTTATACCAATTTATGTATTTTTTTTAATTATATTACAGGAATCCTGCAGAAGGGAGATGGATCAACATTGCATTTCAAACAGTACCCACGAACAGTGAAGGTTGTCATGGGGACAGGTCTGCAGCGTCAGTTACTCTGCACTACGCAGTGCAATGGAGCTGCAAAAGACAGTCGACTGTTGACCCCAGTAGCACTAACAAGTGGACCAGACGGTAGTCTGTATGTGGGAGATTTCAACCTTGTGCGGCGTATCACACCAGAAGGAAATGTTTACACAGTATTGCAACTGAGGTAAGTTTGAATCTCTTTCTCTTATCTCTGTGAAGCATGAAGCCTGTGTAAATAATATTTAATGATTTATTGCCCAGAATAACTACTGAACCATTTCATACCACAGCCAGTTAAATGTTGTACGATTTGAGGCTTTCACGGCGGTGACTATGAAGAAAGCAGTCTTCTGGGATTTGGCACCGTGTATATGTGGTATTAACCGACGTTTCGGAGGAACGTATCGCCTCCATCTTCAGGGTAGAAGAAAAAATGTAAGAAATCTGCAAAACGAAGAACAGTCTGCTTTTACCGGTTCTCACGGTCTCTTCGCTTTGCAGATTTCTTATATTTTTTCTTCTACCCTGAAGATGGAGGCGATACGTTCCTCCGAAACGTCGGTTAATACCACATATACACGGTGCCAAATCCCAGAAGACTGCTTTCTTCATAGTTAAATGTTGGCTTCTCTATGTGGATCCTCATATTCAGTCCCAGGTTACTTCAAGTGAGATTCAGTTCAATTCAATTCAGTTTATTTCAAATTCAAAAATAGATCCAGATGCAGGCTTGGAAACAACCATTGGGTACAGAATGAGATATGTGGTGGTTCAAGTTGCACTGGAGCAGGTTCATTTTTTTTCATTTTACCCTGTAAGTCGTCATTCTACCATTGCTCCAAACTCATTCATCACCACCCTGAGGCATGTGATATCCCTGACCAGGCATCACATTATCACATCCTCCGTGTTTAAGCTGAGGACTTGATCTCTGACCTGGAACTTGGCTGAGCATGATGTGAGCAAGTTAAGTTTAAGAATAACTAACCATTGAATGCACACCGCTCACATTGATATCTGTTGTGTTTGTTACAGTGCAACTCAGGTCTCGTATCAGTACTACTTGAGTGTATCCCCTGCCGATGGTCACCTCTATATCTCAAACCCTGAGAAACACCAAGTGCTGAGAGCCTTATCTCTTGAGCCAGTAACTGAGCCTGCCATTAACTGTGAGCCTGTGGTAGGGTCTGGGGAGCGGTGCATCCCAGGGGATGAGACCCACTGCGGAGATGGGGGACCTGCAAGAGATGCCAAACTGGCACATCCTAAAGGCCAGTAGCAATGCTAGAAATAGGGGGTCCTCTTCAATCAAGGGATCTGCTCCTCTTTTATAGGCGTCATCTCTGCAGTTATATTGGTACATGGTTATTATACTTCTGTTATGGGCCAAGGCATTGCAAATAACATGGTCAGTAGACGATGATGTAGAATCTCCTTACATTCATGTGGACTATAATCAATATTTATATATATATCAATTATTTATATGCCTGTGCCAGGGGATATGTTTTGTGGACTTTCAGTCCAATCATAATAATCAGTATTCATGGAATACATAACAAAGCTCTCATGAAACACTTTTAAACAGACATTTTTCATGAAAACGACAGCAGCTGATGATAGAGACACTGTTGTTGGCAGATCTACCTATCAGCATAATTAGCAGTACCTGCAACTAGCTAGTCTTGTGCCTGTTGGTGCACTGTATTATAATTCATTCTTCTGTTAAATTTTGATAAGAGCGACATATGTAAAAGTTATAACTGAAAGTATATGTAATGTAAGAATTATATGAGTTACTGTAACATTAGTAACCTATGATTATTTTAGAATAAAATATTTTATATATGATACCGTATTTACGCATGTATAGGCTGCGTGCGTGTATAGGCCGCAGCACAATTTTCAGACAGAAATTATAGAAAAAATAATTTTCTTGGAATATTATTTCAGGAGTAGAACACCCTGTATTACTAATTATGAATATAATTTTTTTTAAATGAAATGTGATTTCGAATATAAGCCGCACCCCAGTTTTCCTCTTGAATTTTTGGCAAAAAATGTGCGGCCTATACATGCGTAAATACGGTATTTCTTGAGAAAAGTAAATAAAATCAATTTTGTTTGGTAAAAGTTTTCACTGCAGTAGCTAACAAGTGCACGGCCTCTTAAGGTTCAGTGTTGTATAATCTAGAGGGAGCCCAGAGTTTCAGAGATGTATGAAATGTTAGACCCTCTCCAAATTGTGTGGTGTGTTCAAAAAGTATCGAACCTTTGGTTGGCAGAAATACATTTATTGATTTGGAGGTACAAAACCCTAATCCCCTTCAAAGTAGTCTCCTTGGTAATGCACACACTTCACCCAGTACTTCCGCCATTGTTGGAAACACTTCTGGAACACGTCTTTTGGAATGGTGATCAGCCGGGCCATCGCATTCCGCATGATGTCTTCTCTTGACTCAAATCAGGTTCCTTTCAGCGACATTATCAGCTTGGGAAATAGCCAAAAGTCACACGGAGCCATGTCGGGGGAGTAGGAAGCCTGACGAACCACAGGGATGTTGTGTTTGGTGACGAAAGTCTGAATCAGATGCGCAGAATTGGCGGGTGCGTTATCATGATGGAGCTGCCAAGTTTTTGCTGCCCACAGATTGAGTCGTTTGCGCCGCACAGCCTCACGAAGGCGATGAAGGACCTCCTGCTAGTATTCCTTTGTGATGGTTTGGCCTTGTGGTGTGTACTCATAATGCACAACCCCACGGGAGTCGAAGAAAACGGCCAACATGACCTTGACATTGCTGTGGACCTGCCGTGCTTTTTTTGGCCTCGGGGATTTCAGATGTTTCCACCGTGATGACTGCATCTTGGTTTCCAGGTCGTACCCATAAACCCATGACTCATCGCCTGTGATCACGGTGTTCAGAAAGATGAGGTTACTGTTTGCATTGTCCAGCATGTCCTGTGCGATTTCCAGACGGTGTTGCTTCTGCTCCATTGTTAGCAGTTTCGGTACGAATTTCGTGGACACTCTCCTCATGACCAAATCCTCAGTCAAAATTGAATGTACCGATCCAATGCTTACCCCTGTCTCGTTCGCAAGTTTTCGGACTGTAATACAACGGTCCTCCATGACCAAAGTCCGCACTTGCTCAATGACATTCTCATTTCGGCTTGTTGAGGGTCTACCTGAACGTGGTTCGCTGTCCACTGATGTGCGGCCATCTTCGAAGCGGTTGTACCACTCCTTTATCCATGAGTTGCTCATGGCATCGTGCCCGAAAGCCTGTTGAATCTTGCGAATGGTTTCCACTTGGGTATCGCCAAGCTTTTGGCAAAATTTGATGCAATATCGCTGCTCATATTGTTCCGTCATTTTACACCTTACTGGAATCCGACAAGCGCTCACTACACGTCCTCACTCATAGGCCGACTGCCAGCGACTGACGCTTTCTGCGGGCAGGAAAAAATTCACGACTGCGTATGAATATCCCCTCCATATCTCTACCGAAGGGAGCCTCCCGCGCTTCATTGGTTTACATGGGAAAAAAGAAGGTTCGATACTTTTTGAACACACCATGTACATAGAATTATAACCAACAAGATCATACTCTTCAAAATAAATTGTGCTTTATAATAGATATGTGCATGATATTTTTGGGTCATATAATGAATATCCTTAAAAATCATCCCAAGATGAAAATATGTCAGACTGAATGAAATTATAGATTCATGAGTCTCGTATTTGGGTAGTTATAAAACTTGTCAGTCAAATTTTATTATAGTGGTACGATTTTCAATATAAAAAGAAATGAATTTTGTCCACATTACTCTTACAAAAGAATAAAATTGCAGCTCATGGGATGCTTTCCATGTGCAGTATATTTTTATGTCTGTGATTGTGTTTCCCACTCTCCAGGCCTAGCTATTGCTGCTGATAAGACCATGTACATAGCAGATGGTACAAACATCAGGGCAGTGGATCCAAAGGGAATAATTCACACATTGGTTGGTCACCATGGACATCATAATCACTGGACACCTGTCCCATGCCATGGTGCAATTCCAGCTCAGCAGGTAATACACAGCTTTTATTAATATGTGCTCTGAACTGTATACACTCACTTAGTTCAGGCCTGGATTAATTATTCAGTTTCATTTCAGATGCAACTAGAAATTCAATTTGTTTTTACCTCAAAGATTTAGTCACACTTTTATCCCGAGCTACATTTTTTTCTGACATTACTGCACAATTTGTGTTTCAGGCTCAGTTACAGTGGCCTACGGGTCTGTCATTAAGCCCCCTGGATGGTAGTCTGCACTTCATTGATGACAGACTGGTTCTTAAGCTAACGGATGACCTCAAGGTGAAAGTGGTGGCAGGTACACCTCTGCATTGCCATGTGACAACAGGCAGCAGTAACAGTGACCACAGTCAACATTCAAAACAACATTCTGGTGGCAACAACAGTGACAACACTTCTGGGGGTGAACCCTCAGCTGTCAAGGTACAGGCAGCTTCCATATTCTCACAGTAATGTTTATATTGAACTAGATTTAACAGCAATTCATACAGCCTCTTGATCTGCTATAGCCACTTGCTGTACATATCGTAAAGTTTGCAGACCCAAGAAATCAAGAAGAAGCTCTCTCCTTCACTTTCCTTGTTGCCTTCCTAATTTCACTTTCTTCTTTGTATGTACATCCTTATGTATGTAGTATGAGAATGCATTATGATCACAAAAAGAGTCTCTTGAGTGTTTGGTGGATTTACAGATTTTCAGTCCTTATGTGTACAAAAAAAAAATGGTTTTTGGAATGATGTGTCTCTATAGCTATATGTGTGCCGCAGTAGTTTGACAGGTTTTAGTCGTTTTCTAGTATTTATCATAGTTCAGTGCCTGATAAATATGAATATTGTAGCTCCAATAACAGGAGGGCCTTGAATCACAAAATTGTGATTTTTTTTAAAGTGGTGCCTACAATTTTTATCGTATTTCAGGAATGTCTTTAGACCATCCCCCTATATAAAACTATATCTGTGATATCTTCAGGAAATTAATGCTACATACTATAGTGTCCCCAGATATGTACATAACAAAGTACATGGCTTGTCTTCTGCATTAATTTTTCTTATTACCCTCTTTTCTCCAACCTTTTCCTCCTTTATCTTCAATTTCTCTTATTCCTTCTACCTTTCCTCTTCAAAATCTCCTCCTCCTCCTATTCCTCTTTTCTCTTCCTTTCTTTATCTTCTTCTTTTGATATTTCAGAGGAACATAGCCGCTATTGTCAGGGCTTAAAGAATAATCAACCCTGAAGATGGAAGCAGTATTTTTCCCCAAAATATCAGTAAATGTATGCCAGACTATATGGTATCACGTGTCAGAAGGTAGTAATCTTTGATTTACCTAGTGTTTGCATTTTCAAAATGTAATTAAATAACCTTTATCCAGTAAGTGGTACAAGTTATCTCCCTGGTGTGAAGTGACCATAGTGATCACGCACATCCACCTAATGCAGACATTCTTCAACTCCCTTCTGTGTCCTCATGCCATGGTGATTAATTCACTGAGATCCAGATATGTGATGCTTTCATAATTCCTATGGTGTTGGCATTTTTCGGAGAGAACCAGTGTTTCTGATCAACATGTCACCTCCATCTTCATAGTTGTAAAGTAAACCAATCAAGAAACCAACATGAAGCAGGCAGCAAACAGAGTTAACATGTCTTTGTATCCCAAAAGATACAACTCTTCACAACCACTGCTGTGAGGACATCAGATCCTACATATAAAATAATAATAATAAAATTGTGTGTGAATTACGTGCAAAGTATTTTTCTCACTAGAGTTACTGGCTTAATTCTATTACAGTCTGATGCAGAAGGTGAAGAAGGCCTGAAAGCAACAGGCACAGTTCTGGGTTCTGTTCTAGCCCTTGCATTCAGCCCAACAGGTGACTTGTTCATTGCAGAGAGTGATTCAAGGAAAGTAAATGCTATTCGAGTTGTAGACTCAGCAGGCAGGATATCGGATTTCGCTGGCCGACCACATGATAAACCATACAGGTCAGGAATGTAATTTAGTATGTGATTCTCTTCCCTGTTCAGAGTTGACAAATCATACTATAAACGTTACAATATCTATTACAGGCCATCAAGTTGCGACTGCAATGGTAATGCTACAGGGTCACCAGTGGGAACTGGAGGATCCTGTCTGTGTGGTGCTCCAGGAAGTTCCTCCACAGCCCCTGAGGATGTCACAGGTTCAGGTCACAGTGCAGCATCCTCTAAGGAGACAATGTTATCGTCCAATGCCCAGTTCACATCCATTTCAGCCCTCACTGTTTCCCCTGATGGTATTCTGAACGTAGCTGACCAGGGCAGTCTGCATATCCTTGCTCTGGAGCACTATCTGCCCACCCATGATGAAAATGGAGAGTTCAGGTGCGTGGCTTTGCAGATTTACTGATGTAGTCGTGGTCTTACTCATTGTTTCTACTTTCATATGGGCCATTGAGCAACCTGGCCTCTCCATCTATTTCTGTCTTCCCAGAGCTGCTTCTTCGCCTCCTCAGTTCCTTTCTATGTCCTGATCTGGTGTTCCCATCTTGACTGCAGTCTTCGTCGTAGGTATTTTCCTTTCAGTTTCATGTCAAGCTTCCTATGGTCTTCTATCTTCATTTATTATTAAAACATGATCATATCATCTTAATCTCTTGTTTATTAATTTATCTTATAATGTTTTTATTTTTAAATTCTGTATATTTCCTTCATTTATTAACCTTTCTTCTGATTTTTCCTTCTGTATCTCTTAAAAATCTCATCTTAGCTGCTGTTAGTCCACTAATATCTGCCTTTGTCCACAATGATGCTGTACCAGTTGAAAATATATTAAAGCATCTTCGAAGATAGTCTTCAGTTTCTCAGGCATCAACCTGTATAACACATAATAAATGATTTCAGACATTCATGATTGTGGCCAGTGGTCTCATCTGATTTCTGGTGCATCACCAGGCCAATGAAACTGAAGCAAGGAGAGAAAAATATTTTTCCTGTGCAATACACCCTGTGATGTTTTGTTTGGAATCAGCTGTGTCTAGTGTGTAGCTTATATGCCACTACGTGCACCAGGCCAGAGAAGTGCGTACATTCACTACTCAACTAGAGATGCCAAAGCTCTGCAGTGAAACATTTATGGCCATTGGGTAACATGAGTCGTCATTAGTTATATCACTGGATTCTACTTGATATGATGTCAAAGCTGAATTCTTTGCTCCTTAGAGAGTAAATTATTTTTTAAAATGTGCTGAAGGTTGAGAAAGAGAAGGTTTCCAAAACAATGAATTCTAAATTGAAGTGGCTGGTATCAGAAGAAGGTTTTATTCAAAAGTGTATGTTTGTTTGTAGAGAAGAGAATTTATTTCACATTTGTAAACCTTTTACTTGCCATGATCCAATTAGATTGGCTCTATGTACTTGTCTTAAAACTGCCACAGCCAAAGAAAAATGAGCAGTCTGTACACAATGCATACATTTCCTTCATTTTTAGAATATTCATGAAATTACATCATATTTTAATATTTGTGTTTGCAGAATTCCATACCCACCAACACAAGAAGTCTATGTGTTCAATCGATATGGTCAACATATTGCAACCCGGGACCTGACATCAGGGAAAACACGTTATTCATTTCTCTACAGCAAGAACACAAGTTTTGGGAAGCTGTCAACTGTGACTGACAGTTCAGGGAATAAAATTCTTTTCCTTAGGGATTATAGCAATGTTGTAAGTATTGAGAGATGGGGAAATATATAATTTGAAGCTTTCACAGAGACTGTATGAAGTAAATATGTTTTAGGCAATTAGCTTTGACAATATGAAGTTAGTATACAATGTTTTAGAACTCACCTCCAACTCCATCTGGAGACAAGTCTCCAAAACGCCAAAATGTTGGCAGATTGTCTGAGAATATTTTATTGCAAACTGGAGAATCATCTCACGCAGCTTTTGTATGAAAATCAGACCACGTAAAACTGTTTCATCAATGAAAATTAAATTTTGTAAAAATAGCAGACTTTGATATTTTGTTTCTCAGTTACTAATGTGCCCTTGGTCAAAGAGATTGGTCTAGCATTGAAGGTGTAGACTTTTATTCAGAATATTCTCAGTTCAAATCTTGGTTTGGACACTGGCTACCCTGACAGAAGTTTTTCATAGTTTTTCTTAGTCCCTTAATTCCCACTGTGGAGGCCCAAGCTGAAGCCCAGGTCATGTCATGTGGGATTTGTGGTGGTGGTCATATCTTATGCAGTAACTACCTCCTAAAAGAAGTTATCGAAGGAAAGCTAGAGGTGCAGATAGAAGTGACCAGAAGACGAGGAAGAAGACGTAAGAAAATGCTGGTTGACCTTGGGGACAGAAGAGGATATTCTCATTTGAAGGAGAAATCTCTAGATTGCATTAAATGAAGGAACTGTTTTGGAAGAGACTGTGGACCTGTCATCTGACAGATTACTAATGAATGAATGAAAGTGGTACTGTGGCAGGTTTTCTTTGTGTACTTCGGTTTCCCCTGCCAATTCTCATTCCACCGACTGCTCCACAATCATCATCATCTATAATCCGGGGCTGCTACAGTGAGCCAAACAATGGCCTCAGTACCAAGTGGACTCAGTCTCACCCCATGAGAAAAAATAATAGCCCATTCATTCAGTTGCTGGTATAGTACTTCAACTAGACCATGATTTCTTCAATGCAAATTTATTCCAATTCATCACTCACCTATCATCCTGTCACTTTATGCTTTATAATTTGTGATACTGAAAGTTTTATGAAATAACCCACTAACAGGCTCTTTCCTGGAGAACCTAAGGAAACCCACCAAATATATCAGTCAGTGTTCTGAGCAAGTTCTGAGCTGACAACCTTCTGAATACAAGCCAGAAGGCTTACAATGTCTACCAACTTGCTCACTTGTGGACTGTGGTAATTTAACTAAATTTAGATTCAAATGAAACAAAGTTTCCAGACTTTTTTATGGATAGGCTTGATTTATGACTTTATCTGTATGACAGAAATAAAGCTACTAACTCATTAAGATGATTTGCAGAAAGGACTTACAAATGCAATATAAATTTCTTTATTATTTTAGGTAAGCACAATAGAGAACACACAAGACCATAAATCAGACCTGAAGATTTCTGGAGTAGGATTCCTCGTCAAGTTCTCAGAGAAGGGGACCTCGGATATCGAGCTGGATTATGACAGCACCACAGGTCTTCTCATTAGTCGAGCGGATTCTAGGGGCGGAGGCGTAAGCAACATTCTCCATTACTGAAGAACTGAAAATGGATCTATGAATAATTCACAAAGACTAATTTTCTGTTTACTTCTGTAAATTAGACTTCATTTCTGGAGTTTTATACACACACACACAAAGTTTGTATTCATATTATAGTCTTCTGAGATATGGTTCCATGTAAGCAGGTATTATTATTATTATTATTATTATCATTATCATTATTATTATTATTATTATTATTATTATTATTATTATTATTATTATTATTATTATTGGAGGGGGGTGGGTTTCCCCATGCACCGCGACCAGTGGTCTGTTGTATGTCCCCCTGTGATATTCTACCAGTCTCTATATCCTACCGATACTGGTGCGTGCCATCAGTCCTGACTCAGCTAGCGAGTTCGGCCTTTACTGGCCCAGCGGTATCCAGATGCTTCCCCCATCTACCAGAGGCGTTAGAGACTATTGTTGGGCAGGAAATGTCCGTTATAATTTGGCTCAGAGGCCTCCTTGAGTCATGAGGTTCTTTTATGTGCCGTAAAGCTACGACAGGGGACCCACAGCTTAAAGTCCCTCCCGGAGGACTTGTTCCTTGAATTTTTCCGCCCTTAAAAATTCCACAACCTCCGCCGGGTTTGAAACCGCGTACCTTGAATCATGAGGTGGGAATGTTACCCCTAGACTACGGAGGCCGCTATGTAAGCAGGTAAGTGAGTACTCTTGGGGAATATACTTCCTCTGTCTTAATGTACTCATTATAATCCAGAAGTTCACATGATGATGGTTCTCTTTTTATATCACATGAAATTAGTTTCCTCAAGTTATGTCTATTTCCTAAAATAGTTTCATTGTATAAATATTCTTGAAACTAAAAAAGTAACAGTTTTCTTTGCTTCAGGGTGGTGAAACTTATATGTATCGCTATGGCGAAGCTGGTCGCTTGGAGTCCGTCATACTACCAACAGGAGAGACAATGAGTCTTGCTTCTCACCTCACAGAAGATGACAGTTTGGCTGTTCAGGTGTCAACACCGGTACAGTCCTTGTCTGTTACGATGCCTGAACAACCAGTTGTCACAACTCTCAGAATGAAGGGCCGTGGGGCCCACAGACTCACCATTAGGGAAGGTTTGTATTTTATTTCCTACAAATATTGTGTTTCTGGACATTATCCATCATCCAGTTTTTATCTAAACCACTGTCCTGTTTGAACATATACCAAAAAAAAAGGCACACAGATGAGCCAGAACCCAGATAATCCGTTTATGGATAATCACGAGTGTACTGTATTTTAATATTATCCTTCCATTTATGCATAGGTCTTAATGGAATAAATTTAAAGCAGAAAATAATATCTGTTGTAACACCATTCCAGATACTGCTGTAAGTGAGGCAGCCAGTTTCCGGAATGGTTCATTCTCTGTTCACTGGTCATGGGGTGGACATCTTCAGAGCCAGGCTGTGGCACGTCACCCACTGTTGGAGCTGAGCTTGCCTGTGGAGGCGGAGATGCTACCCATATGGAGCGATCAGATACTCACACTTGGTGAGGGACTGAGCAACCACATGCACTGGACCTACAGTCTGGTCGGAGATGTCCGAGCATCAGAACAAACTCTACACCGGGAGCTCTGGGTGAGTGTGGCCATTCAGGAAACATCTTCTGGGATGTGATACCTGTAGTCAAGTAGAAGATTTCTGTTTTCTGAGATATACAAGTAATACCTTGTAGTGTAATGAATTCGACCAGTATTTTGGTGGAACAGAACTTTGCTGGCTTCTTACTTAGCTTACTCTTCAACCCAGCAGATAGATGCTCCATGTTCTCTTGTAATATCTGTTGACTCCCACTGGAGTAGACGATGTTACACCCCAGAAGACTCAACTCCTCATAGCCACTGCCGTGAAACCTGTAATTCTACACGGTCTGGGAGAAGTTTATCCGTGTTTCAGATAAATGTTATGTAAGCAAAGCACGGAAAAAGCTTAGATGAAGGCTAGGATAAGAGCCCTGAGCAAATTGATGGGAACAAAAGAAGACAGCCCCTTTCAGAGCCTCAGTGTGCCTTATAGGGCTCTCTTTGTCTTGTCATTTCAGACAATTTGAAGAGAAAGAGGGACTGTAGCTGTTCAAATCCCCACCCCCTCTCAATATATGACACTCATGGGCACATTTTATATTCATACCTGTTGTATCTTACAGGTGAACCAGTCACGTGTACTTGGAGTGGAGTTTGATCAGGCTACTGGACGTGAGACGTTCTATGACCGTGAACGTCAGCCCCTGCTTACAGTAACCTTCAATCATGCTGGTCTTCCTCAGTCCTGGGTTCCTGCCAATGGTGGCCAGCCTGTTAACATTACATATGATAGGTGGGAAAATTGTACTATAAATCTCTTTTACTTTGGAAATAGGCTGTATCATTGTAATCTGATGTGCATATTTGAAACATTTTGGTACTGATTTCTGGGAAAAATAAATTGAGCCTATATTCTCTTGCACAGAATAACTTAAATGAAGTTTAATTAAGTAAAGAAATAACATGCAATATTTAATTTGTAGCATAGTATGGTGATGCTGAATAACTGGGGTTCAGTTACACATAAGTGTTGATAGATCTTCATTACATGTTGCTTAATTAAGCAGTGGGATAACTTTATCATATTTTTTGCAACTATTTTTAAAACTTTGGATTTAATTGTCCTGAGGAAGGAACATTTGCAGTATTGTACACTGGAAAAAATGTCATGTGTTAAAATATTTATCAAATGGAGATATGCTGTATCAGAAACGTCCTTCAAATTACATTGTCATCATCAAGTGGTGATGTAATTTATCATATCATCATTATGAAGCTAATGGATTATATTTTCTACATACAGTGGGACCTTAAGTCACCATGCTGGAGATAAAATTGAGCACATGGCATTCCTTTTGTAAGGTTACAGTTCATTGTGTGATTCAGAGATTCTTTGGACAGACATTGCTATGAGCATATTAACCCAGTTAAGTCTAAAAGTCACACAATTAATATTTAAAGTATATTCCTACTTCATAGAAAACGCTGTATCTCCATTAGAAGGACAATTTGGGTAGTGCCAGTTATAGACAACATTTGTTCTCAGCATCATACGAAATATATTTACACTATGTGAGTAAAATGAGAGGTTTCTTGGTTAGAGCACATGGTACATATAGTTACCACTGTGGTTTAAAGGGAAAAGACTCAAAACCTTCCATGTAGTATGAGATAAGTGCCATATATGATAATTTGAATAGTTCACTTATGCTGTGATATGTGAACTTAGGTTCAGCCGTGTGGATGGCTGGCGCTGGGGTTCCCAGAGCGAGAGGTACAGCTATGAGAGTAACGGGCTCTTATCTGAGATCAGTTCACCGCAAGATGGCACCACCAAGTTTGAATACAATAAACTGAATATGGTATGAATAACTGGAAACATTCTGTCACATTGGCAGTTAATTTGCAGTATTCAGTCATATGTAACCGTATGGCATAGGCTCAGTGTATCAAGGAATCCAAATGTTTTAACATGTTTGTGCTGGATCTAGATGTTAAATTCTGTGTACCCTATTAACAATTAACTCACCTCCATCTAGTATGCACTGTTAAGAAAGACTGAAGCTATAGTTTCATAAGAAGACCTCAGCTAATAGTGAGTTCCAGTTCAAAACCTTTACCATTTTTGTTTATTTTCTTATTTATTCTATTTGTTTGTGGAGTGGGGTGAGAATGAATGAATGTGATACATCGACCATTGGTGGGCCTGCCTACTGTACCAGCACCAGATGATGATGATGATGATGATTGTGGAGCTGTTGGTGGAATGAGAATTGGCAGGGTAAACTGAAGTAACTGGAAGTAGCTGTCATGGCCAAGGATAGGACACAGATGCTCCTCATGACATAAAAATGAAAATGCAGATATGCAAGGATGTGGAGAACAAAAGCATGCATAATGAATGTCACCAGTGCATGATTCTTGTGGGGAATTAATATATTGTTTATGCATTTTTATTCCTCTTGAGTCCATTAGTTACAATTCTTGTAGTTGCATACAGTGAAAATATCTTTATTAATAAGACAATCTATATAAATTTAAAGTACATGTGGTACTAATATAGACAGTTTTATGAATAAAAACAGAATTATTCTTTCTGTTCTCTAAAAAGCTACTCATTGTTGAATGTTTGTTTCAGCTGTTTGTCATTACTCTCCCAAGTGGACGTCGATTTGAATTTCAGTACGATGAAGATGGTGGCTTGCGTTATGTGACTCTCCCTAGCAACAAGAGGCACTCCTTCTCATGCCAACCATCTCTTGGCTTCCTTCGTGTCACCTATACTCCACCAGGTTCATTGCGTTCCTATATTCAACATTATGCTCACTCTGGGGCTCTTCTGCAGACAGTTTTTCCTGTAGATGGAGCCAGGGTTATATACCGTTACCATGCTTCAGGCCAGCTTGCAGAGGTAAGCATATAAACTTGCCCTTTTATTTAAATGCATCTTTGTGAGTCTGGTTAGCCCATAAGAATACCTTATGTCGCTTTTTCTGTAGCTCCTTGTTTAAGGCATGTACTCAACCCTTGCAGGGGCACGCGCTAGTTTAGTGATTGAGGGGCTATGGTACAAGCCAGAAGGTTATGGGTTCAAGTGCCGATGAGGTCATTGGGTCTTTTCCAGCTGACCTAATCCTTCCAGCTGCACTAGGCCCTGGGGTTTACTCAGCCTCTAACAGAAATGAGTACCAGGAATTAATTAAATAATTTTCCTGGGGAGTAAAGCGCGGCTGGTGCCTAAGGCTGACAACCTTACCACCATCTTTGAGCCAATTGTCTAGCTAGTGTGGGATCCTCAACGTCTCACAACCCTATGGGCCTTCACGGCCTGTTACAGGGATAGCTTTACTTTTTTTTTTTTTTACTTATTTTAAAGTGTTAATAGTTCTGTGGTAAAACAAGTATGTAGCTTTGTTAAATGTGCATAGTCTTGTTGTAAAAACAGTTTCTCAAAACTTCTGATAACTTTCATAAATAGTGCTAATTCCTTAAAATGGTTGGAAGTAGGTGAAATGTGTGTGATTAATATTTGTGATAAAGGGTTGTATTTTATGATATTGAGTTGTTATACTTAATATGATGTAGGATTAATAGAGAGAAATGTTGAAGTAATACACAATTCTTAGTCTTGAAAACCTATAGAAATTATAAGGAGTTCTGGGCAGAATTCATAGAACCTATACTTGTATTGCATAGAATTATAGTCCTACAGATCTCTTGTCATTATTATTCTTTTTTGAACTTTCTGAATAGCTTATTTCTTAAGAACCTATATGCATTAAATTTATTGGTTACAGCCTCAAAATTTTACACTGTCATCATGTTTGTAATTGTAAACATGCATACAATACTTCATATATATGTATGTATGCCTGTGATCTGTCCCTGTGTCAAATTTCAAATGTCTAGTTAACAGTTTATCTGCTTATCTCCATCAGAGCAAAATATAAAGAAAATATTTATATGGTCATCATGTTGTTATGTTACATTCAACAAAATAATTGCCTTCACAAAAGTTAACATATTTTTTGAAGATCTGTTGCCATATATCATTTCAGGGTCCTATATTAAGTGGCGCTACCATTACTCCTACCTCATGAATTTTATCATGTGCCATATTTCTGTTATGAACTTAGGAAGAGTATGGTGTTGAGGTGGTCTCTGAAGTCATAATGTCTGTACCAAAGGCTGTGGAAATTACTCAGCTGGTTCCACAAATGAAAGGACACACACACACACACACACAGACACATACACACATTGCAGTGATCTCATAAGCCTACTTTCAAATTTAATACTACAATTGTCAGCTTTAAACAATGAAGTGCCCCCAACCACCATGTAGGTTGTGAGAACTGCTGTATACTTATTGGTAAATAACATGTAGAAAAATCCGTAAGAATCTCAACTGTATTTCCCCTCCTCTTTCTTGATCATGGAGTGGAGATAGATTTCCAGTAGGTGTCACATGTTGTCTGTTATAGTAATTGTTATAAAAGTTGAAATTTTTTACACTTGGCACATATAGGGTTAAGAAAGACAATTAGGTAAAAAATAGCTGAAGGAAGTAACAGAGAAAAGATATATCATAGTCTTCTTGCTGTGACCATTATTTAAAATCAGTTACTTTCTTCTGTCTGCAGGTGCTTCATGGAGATGGGCGCAGCCAGATAAACTATTCCCCTCTGACAGGCTTTCCTAGTGAACTGCTCCATTCAGAGAGAGAGTTTGAGTACCGGTGGGATTACCAGTATGTAGCAGGATTGCTGATGGAAGAGAGACTGGACTTTGGAGCCAAGACAGGACTGAGCAATGCTAAGTTCACATACGAGTATGACAGTAATTTCCGTCTGACGGGGGTCCAGGGCAGGATCGGTGGACAGAACTTGCCTGAACATGCACTAGCCTATAACATACGCACAGGTGCTTTGGAACAGCTTGGCCAGTTCAAGGTAACACTGCCAACACCACCACTGGGTTGTAATGATTCAAAATGGCTTAGAGGACAATGCATCTTTATACACTTCAAAAGATAACATTTGTCATTACAGATGTAACTCATAAACATAACACTGGGCCCCAGTTTCTTCAAGATTCCTTTGCCATCTACTGGCATTTTTTTCTCCTTAGTATGGATTTATGGTTGAAAATTATATACTCTCTTCTTTTTTCAGAAGATGTATCCTATTAAATTTACTACAGGCTCTTTCTTTTGTTCTGTCTTCTGGTACCTGGCCAAACAGTTTTGTTATAGGCCATTTCACAGGTCTCCTTCACAATTATCTTGTTCTGTCCACTCTTTCAACATGTACAAACCATTGTAATAATTTCTCTTATGACTATGGTAAGAGATTACTAATTCCAACTTCTTTACAGATTTCTTTCTGATTCTGTCCCTTCTTGTTTCTCTCTTAACACCTCATAGAAATTTCATATCATTATTTGGATTTTTCCCTTGTTTCCCTCTCTAAAAACCCATGTTTCCCAACTTCATTCTGAAATCTTTAGACACGAGCTTACATTTATGATTTTACAATATGGAGAATATGGACAGTTTTTTACATGACTTCATTCACATATGAAGAATTTCAATCATGGCCTGCTTTGTGAAAGGGAATGGAGACACTGTAGACATGTTCACTGTATTAGCACAAATAAATTAGTCATCCAAGAGCTGGCAGGACAGTATAGAGTGTGCTTAATTAATTACCACACCATGAAGTCATCAGGAAGTGGAGGCATAGGTCCATGCATTCTGAACCTTGACATTACATGAAGTTGAGTGCTCAGGTGTGTGCCCCAGTTGCTTTCTTCAGGGAAGGGCCTCCATTACTCACTGAATTGGAAATTGGAAGGGCCTCAGATATGGTCTGGATGTTGTGGAGAAGAGAAAAATCTCCTACTTCCTCTTGTCAAGACTTGGGAGTCTGGTTCTTCAGTTTTCCATCCCATAGCCTGATGGCTAGTCTGACTGAGCTGTTGTGGCTCATAAGGGATTAGTAGGAAATGTTTGAAAAACTTTATGATTTCTTTCAGCTCTGAGTGGAAATTGTATGGCATGGCACTTTTGGGGGCTGAAGCCCATAGGGGGTCGAATCATTGCTGCTACATTCCATCTGAATGAATTATTGTCTGTAAATTTCTTTTGTGTTTTATCTTTATGTCAACAGTACTCATTAAAGTAACATAAGAAATAGCAGTTGCTGTAGATACCCTGTCTTGATATTACTACTACTGGTGCAGGTATCACAGCCTCGGCCCAATGAAACCACTGTGTTTGATGGTACAGCCATTTTCTCAAGGTGGAACAATGATCAGTATCAAGAAACACAGGTCGCTGTCACAATTCACCGAATGGAAGTTTTCCGTATGGAGTTCACTTATGATTCCCGAAGGTTTGTCATTTTGTACGTCCTACATTTCTGTATCTTCTGAATAATTTACTGTTGTCCTGAGTAAAGTATATGACTGAATTTTGTTGACATTATACAAAATAATCCCTAAAGCCATTCTTACTCACATTTCTGTAAGCATAAGGTGTCTGGTAGTTTGTGGATAACACAGTGGACCAGTTATCTATTATTGACTGTGTCTTTGCGTCACATCACGTTGTTCCTTTGCAGTCGTATCAGTCAGACACGGACGTACACTCGGAATGTTGGTGTCAACACTTATACAAATGTTAAGAACTACACTTGGGATCCTGATGGACAGCTGTCGGGAGTGGAAGCACAGGAGCCCTGGGGGTTCCGATATGATGACAATGGGAACATGCTCTCCCTCACTTACAGGTGCACATTACTCTGTACTATATTAAAACCCCATTCAGGAAAATTATATATCTAAAAACGTGTAATGTTAGAAAGAGTCAAAATATATGAGGATTTTTATACATTTTCAGGGGTAACACAATACCAATGGAGTACAATGTAATGGATCGTATTGTAAAGTTCGGAGAAGGATTGTATCGTTATGACAATCGCGGCCTTGTAGTCCAGAATGCGAGAGAAGAACGTTTCCACTACAATGCGAAAGGCCTACTGGTAAATGTATTCAGTTATAGTATACAAGATGTAATGAAAGACTGATGGAATTGTAAACATAGATACTGTCTGACTTAAGCAGTTTTCAGCTTACATGAATCCCACATGTTTTTCTATTCCCAAAGTTTTAATGAAGGATAACAAATAATGAAATAATATGCAAAACATTAGATTCGCATGATGTCTGCTATGAAGATGATTTCCTTCTGGAATGTGACACCATGTAATTTAGCAGATAGGTATCAACCAAATGTTACATACCAGAAGATAAGTGTCTTCAGTGAATTGTTATGACCGAAAGTTGCCCCTGTGCTTAACTGATTAATCAGTATGTCATGAAGATATATGGGGGATTCACGTTTTCTTGACTGCAGCACTAGTTGGAGCTGAGCGGTCAGCTTCATTCCTTGGCTTCTTTACCCCTGAGGAAAAACCACTTGTACCCAATGGATAGTAGGTTGGGTGGGCCCCTGTACTTGTCTGGACAATGTGGAGAGAAGAAAGTTCTTGACCCTACCGGGACTCAAACTCCAAACCCTCCATCATCCAGCCTGTAGCCAGCCGCTATACCAATTGCGCTATCCAAGCTCCAGTGTTATGAACAAACCCTCAAAACTAGAACTTTTAAGTGGGTGAAATTAATGGTGTTTTAAGAGTTGTGACTTGTTGGATATAGTGCCATGTAGTTTGGTGAAAGTTGGCTGACATTTCAGAAGAACACGCTGCCTTCATCCTTAGGGTCAAAGAGCAAGCCAATTGGGAAACCAGCTTGAACACAGACACACAAGGAAAGTAAGCTAATACAGAAGAATAGCTGATGGAACCAGGGTTTTCTCTGCAGTCCCACCCCAATTTGTATATGGATGAAAATTCTCTGCTCACAAGTTTGGAAAGGGATACACAGAGACAGTAAAGTGATCTCATGAGCTTCCTTTCGTTTTTTGAATAACTAAACTAAGCTTAAATAACATTATACGTGAATTTTCACAGTAGTTTTGTGAGCCAGATATGAAGCTCTCATGGGTCACATCTGGCTTGTAGGTTGTAGTTTTCTCATCCTTAATCTAGATAAAACATGCCCTTATGCCAAAGGATGTCTGTTTTAACAGTGATTCTAAAATATTAAAGAACTGAAGTTCAGTCATGCTACAATTGGCATACAGGAGCGACTTAAGACAGAGATAGCAATGTGATGGTAGACTTCACAGTGCTGAAGTTGTGATTCATTCAACTGATTTATGTTTTTTCATAGGTGCGTGCTACCAAACGTGGAAGGTTTGACGTGCGCTACTATTATGATCACCTAGACCGCCTTGCAACTCGAAAAGACAACTATGGAAACGTGACACAGTTCTTCTATACGAATCACCAGCGTCCTAATGAAGTATGCACTTAAACACAGAGTGGCAATGAGTAGTGTAGTAGAGAAGAAGAGAGTAAGGGAGAAAGTAATTATAACAGTTAGGCCCATTGAAATTAACACTTCAGAATGTTTACCCTTTAAAGCACAGTGGTTGTTAAATATTAATCCCATGCCTTAATATTAAAAAAAAAAGTTCCACATTTGGCTCACATAGCATATTTATGTATTTAATATTCTCTCTTAAATAGTATTAACTGCCTGGTTTTGTGATGATGAAATATTATGCTTTCTTTGAGCTAAGAACTATGGGCGGCTGCACACCAGCTGCGTCAAGACAAGCATCAAGGCATGAGACAAAAGATGCAGTCTTGATTCATTCGTGATTTGTCAGCATCATGACTCAAACCAGTGTGCTGCGGTTTTCATAATCTCATTTGTTTCAACTGGGCTCCTTTATTTGCGGCATGTCGCAGATATCGTGTCTTGACGCGTGCCGGTGTGCAGCGTACCTAAGTTCTGAAATATTTTGTAGATGATCTTCAGGCTTTGGAAGGTTAAGGAAAGAACTCTTATGTTTGAGACAGGTCGCTCTCTGCTGTGCTCACATCCACATTCGTATTCATATCTATATTTGTTCCAGAAATCCATATTTGGTGATACAGCCTCCAGATATAGAGCAAGTCAGGTTTTGTCGTATATATAAGTCACCAGTACTATAATACTTAAACTATTTCTCTTTCTGACCTCTTATTCAATGCAGTGGAAACCATTTTATTTTACGATAACCTGAATTATCAGAGTTAGTCCCCATTTTACTTACAACATTGTTATAAATTGTTTCTAAAGGCAGCTTTTTAAAATGAAACACTGACATCATTTTGCCTTTGTGTAGGTGAGTCAGATATACAGTCCACGTGATGGGAAGCTGATGTCACTGGTGTATGATGACCGCGGTCACCTCATTTTTGCTCAAGTTTATCGCCACAAGTACTATGTAGCTACGGATCAATGTGGTACCCCAGTCATGGTGTTCAATCAGTATGGAGAAGGAATTCGTGAAATCATGAGGTCCCCTTATGGACACATTGTGTATGATTCCAATCCATATCTCTACTTGCCTGTTGACTTCTGTGGAGGACTCCTAGATCAGGTTTGTAATCCTGAATGGAAATAAGATGACACTTAGTTACTATAGGATTCTGGCGATGGTGTATAACACACAGAGATATTGGGTTTCCAGACTTTATCCATCATCCTTGTTTTAAGATAACTAAGAAAAACACGACGTTTCGGAAACTGGATCTGTTTCCATCCTCACATGAGGGAAAAACACCTATTCTGTTGGGTCCCTTAGAAAGAGCATAGTCTTCATAGTTACTGCTGTGAGAATTGCAAATCCAGCACACAATTGTAAGATTATTTATAAATTGAGAAGGATCTGGAAGGAAATGGTCATGCCTTAATCAAAGTGACATCCTGATATTTTCCTGGAGGGACTGAAGGTGTTTTGTCATTGGTATGACAGAATAATATTACTGTAAATTTTGTTATACAGGTAACTTCATTGGTACACATGCCTAGTGGGAAAGTTTATGATCCACTGATTGGCCAATGGATGTCTCCGATGTGGGAAGGTATTCTAGACAGAGTCGCCAATCCGTCACATCTTCATCTGTATCGCTTCAATGGGAATGATCCTATAAATGTACGACATAGACCCCGACATCTTACAGGTATGTAGACAGGTAAAAATGTAATGTTAAGAGCTTCCATGTTATGAACCATTACAGTAAGTAGCTGTGAGAGAAATATGAAGTACTTGCCTGCACATCTTTGGTGGGCTGGAGGGGAATTGGATCAGTGTACTATTGCAAACAAAAATCACTGTTTTTCAAGTCATTCTTTTTTTTGAAACAATAAGATGTGGATGGCATCACTGATCAGTGCACAAAGGAGTCTAAATTTCATACTATTTTGCTTCAGTTTTATATTTCTTTTTTACATTTCTTAAATTTGCAATGCATTATTATTAATAATTAGTAAAGGAGTGATAGCATGTTTTGTTATTTTCACCATGCATGTACATCATGTTTGGCATGTGTTGTTTCAGAGAATGATACATATTTCAGTAAAGATGAAGTTGCCCCAGTAGTTAATTAAGTACAACGCTATAAAGGCCTATGAGGGTAGTGGAGGTATAACTCCTTGCACTTTTAACCACGGTACTCAATGGAGATGTGGATCACCTTCATATCTCTGTCACCTTACCCCCAGGAAAAGAACCATGGCAACCACTGAATAGGAATCTTGATGGGTCCCAAAGCTAGTTTGGATATGGTAGAAACAAGAGAATATCTCCTCCTGCCCAGAACAAACTGAGATTTCCCAGTTATCTAGCTTGTAGAAAAATTCAGCTGATTTTTAGAGTATCAATGAACAAGCCCAGCTAACTGGTAATGCTAAATGTAAATCCATGAATAATTTCTTCTGTTTCTTACTGGAGATATATAATTATATTGCAGTCCATTCTGAGAAAAAAGAATTGGTAAATTTGTCTTAATATGAGTGGTACTACTGGAAGTAACAGCACATAATGTAATACCCAATTAGTCATGTTGAATGTGAGGTAGCATGGTTTACTTCTACAGCATAGTCTGAATGCACCTTGGAGTTAGCAAATGCATGTGTGTAGGGGTAGAATTCTGTGTTTTTATTTATATATCTGCTTGGTTTTTAGCATCAGCACTTGCAGTGGACATTTTGAGATGAGGCTGTTGAAGAAAATTGGGGCAATAAATTTGTGTAGCATGCTTGCAGCAATTTTATTAGAGCATGATTTATGTGCAGATGTGTTAAGCTTGACTCCGGATGTAAACAGAGGAAAAGAAGAAGACATTTTTATGTAAGTTTCATAATTTTATGTGTTAGATTTGATGTTCTCACCACAGTGGCTGTGAAGAGCATTATCTTATGGGATGTGATGCCATATAGTCCAGTCAGATTTCGTGATGTTCCCTTGAAATGCCAGTGAATTCATCAGGCTATAAAATGTCACATCCCAGAAGATATATTTTTAAGTGACATTATTAAGCATCATAGTACTGATGATCCACATAGAGCTTATGAGAATAATTATGTTGAGTTGAATAACTTTGAATAGATGGGTGTTTTTGTGATGCTTTCTTTTATTGTATTATTAGAATGTTAACCCTTCTACATCCTTCCCGTAATTGAAGTAGATGGCCCTATGAAATCACCCTTGGAAAGTGTTCATAATCGTTATTGATACTGTTGGTCAACAAATAACAACTGCTGTTGTTATTCTCCTCGTATAATCTGCTAATTACCAGACTAGCCCTTGTCTTAGAACAATGATCAGATTTCAGAACATTATCCAAAGTACAATTTTATTTGAAACAGTGTTTCACACTTCAGATTCTGTCTCTGTCCTCAGGTAAATCATACAATAAGGTCCAGAGACAGGGACTAGCTTTGTCAGTTGGGTCCAGCAAAGTAGGCTTTTTATCTGGAGATGAAGACAACATCCAGTCTCAGTAACGTTGTTTTGAATAATATCCAGAAAAATTATAATTTTATTAATATACTAATGTCACAAATTTTTTGATCTAATCTTTGTATTTTTTTTATCACCAGATCACCAGAGTTGGCTCAGTCTGTTGGGGTACAACTTGCAAAATCTGGCTCCCCAGCTCTACCCAGATAGGCTTCCAGGGGGAGGCTTGCCTCTCTCTCCGCCTGGACTTTGGGGTTCAAAGGAAGAAATGCCATATGTTGTGTCACTGCGCTCATCTATACAACTCCGTCAAGAATCCTCTTCAGCATTTGGTGTTGCATCTGGCTTTTTGGCTCATCTTGCTGAACGCCGTCCTGGAGATGCGTCCACTCTCTCATCACCACCACGCTCAGCTGTCAAGAAAGACACTTGGCCCCCTGAAGACTTCCCGACAACAAATCCTTCATCTGTATTTCAGTTCAGGCGTTTGGGAGCTGCCTGTGACCCACCATTTGGCAGAGGAATACTTGTGTCACGAACTCCTGATGGGAAGGCAGTCATCAGCAGTGTTCCTGCTGCCAACGCTATCTATCGTGATGTCTTCACCTCTGTTTTCAATCAGTCTTATCTCTTGCCATTCACTTTCTTTCACAATGCACAGCAAGATGTGTTCTTCTTTGTCAAAGAGGATTCGTGGCGAGCCTCTGAAGACCGCGGACAATTGAAACGTTTAGGAGGTCAAGTTAATACAACGTTTCATGAGAAAGAAGCAGCTTCTGGAGAAACTCCAGCTGGAACAGCAGGAGGCAAAGTGGCAGACTTGAAACTACATGGAGCTGGAGCTGTGGTAAATCTGCGATATGGGACCACGCCTGAACGAGAAAAGCAAAGGTTATTACATCATGCCAAGATAATTGCCGTTCGAAAAGCTTGGCACAGAGAGAAGGAAGCTTTAAGGAATGGATTTGCTGGCTCTATTGATTGGTCTGCGACAGAAGTGGACGAGATTCTGAAGGTCGGTTATGCCTCATCCTACGACGGAGAATACGTGCATGACGTTAGAAAATACCCGGAGCTAGCTGAAGACCCATTCAATATCCGTTTTGTGAAGAAGGCAACAATTTCTGCTACGACACAAGATTCAGCTGGTAGACGCAGGAGGAGAAAGAGGGATGCCAGAATAGAGGAACAGGAAAACAAAATGGAATTCACTTCCTATTTAAATGAAACTCGTCAATTTTCTCAGCTCTTCCAACATACGATGAGAGACACATCAGCTGCTTCTCTGGATTCTGATAGTGGAAACAAGAATCTGACATCACTGGATTCTCCCATTATTGTTCATACAACAAGACAAACATGTCAAAACAAGAAACACTGGTGGCTACTGTGGACACACATTCGTCCATCATGCTAAAATAATACACCAGCACTAGCACAGAATGTTTTCACCAAAGACTTCTTTCTGTTGTGAACTCTGGAAACTGGGAAAAAATGTTCCAGTTGTTGTAATATGCACATCATTGGATGGGACTTTCCATAGAAGTGAGAGGAATAGACATCCAAAGTATGCAAACTAAATTTGTGAATTTCATGGTAAACCATTTGAACTATTTGACGAAGACTGAGTATCATAGGAAATGTTAAATATCTGAAAACCAATTGAGACGAATAATTCAAAATGAACCAAAAATTAATTTTAAAATCAAGAAACTGTCAAGAGTTTTTTTTCTCTAAAAATGAGTAGAGAAGTAAAAGTGTGCCAAGAATTGCACTGTTTGTCAATGAATTGAGTATTGCAACATGTAACATCTTGTATCTGACATCTGACATCTGTGGGGTTTTGTAAGCAGTGAGATACTGTTCTCACTGGTGATAGAAGGGACATTATACATTATGTGTAAGGCTTGTATTACTTACCAGAATTCAACCATTGTATGATGATCAGATGCTGGTAGGCTGAAGGAATTACAGCAAGGCACAAGTAGCTAGTCTGGTAAAAAGTTACCTTTGTCATAAGACTATTAGAATTACCTCTTTCAAAAACATTTTATGTGGAGCTTATCCATAATTGATTATGATAATTAATATGTGGAACCTGATATACTTAATATAAATTGATTTCTGAGATATGTTCTTCTCTTGGAAGTTAGCACTACTGGTATCACAATTGGATTTTGTGAAACAGAAAAGCACAAGTATGACGAAAGATATTCCTAGTCAATGTTTTTGGAAGGGGTAATATTCAAAGATGCCAAAGAGGAAAGTTAAAAATCTACCACAAATTTATTTTCAAGTTTGTGTGCCAAATCTGATGCACACACAAGGGAAAACAGAAAGATTTTGCATTCAAGAGGAAGAGTGTTGTAAATATATTTATATGAATATTTAACATTGCCAACTGCTCGGCTTTAATGAAAAGAAGTGGCCACACTGGTCTATGCAATGTTGCAACAACGGAAAGAATATAAGGTGCGTTATTTTTGTGTTTCCTTTGAGTGTTTCACATTACCCAGAGGGAAATGTCCAAAGAGAATGGAATTTTGTGGCTGGATTATACATAAATATTGTGTGTCAATAATTATATTTATATATTTTTATTATACCAGACATTGAGCAGTGTTAACAGATGTATTTATGGGACTGTCATCTAATGAAGCATGGTTTCATTTTTAATGTTGTGTTCACTTATGAGGTAAAACAAAACTTAAAAAAAGATAAAGTCGTTGTCTGATTAACACTCAATGAAAGCATATAATTGTTGGTTAACAAAACATTGCCTAAGTTGTGTACATGTTCTGATATGTTTTCTTCAGAATGAAATTGTAAAACCTTGAGCTATTTTTAAATAATGCCAATTATGCAAAGAGAACAGGTCACTGAGTAAGTCCAATTTGTACGCACATGTACGAATGTTTAAAATAGTTGTGGGTTATCCCCTTGCCCAAAACGGTTGTTATTGGGGAATTGCATCATTTTATAAGCTTCAGTTATAAAATTTAAAGGGCTTCTCTTTGCTGACAGTACGGATAAATGTCATATTCGTACAGTATTCACCTTTAATCGTTTGCATTGCCTGTTTTCTGTTAAAGAGATGGCTGCTTGATAAAGATATTTGTATTTATGTATAATAAAGTATATTACTGAGAGCTTGAGGGGTACTGAAATATTTGGCTTCTGTGGATTACTGAATTATACAATTAATCAATGGCCTTTGGAAAGACAGCGAAATTTATTCAATTAGATATATGATTTTCCTCCAAAATAATTATGATAGAAACATGCTCAAGTCTAGGACTCTACACTGTTTCTCTGTTGTCATGCATGTGGTGTGGGTTAGCATAAAACTGTCTCCAAAATATGATGACTGTAAGTGTCAAGCACAGTTGGAAAGTTTTGGGCTTCTGTGAAGAAACATATTTAATATTGCAATTTGAAACATACTTAATCCTTGGAACGATAAATACACAATTACCTAAATTCTTTTGATAAATAAAATAGTTGCTATAAACATAACAGCATGGGTCAAATCCAGGCATCTGCTGCCCCACCCCAAAACTTTTAGAAAAACAGAATTGAAAAAATTAAGGAAATTTACCAAATAATAATAAGAACTAAAATTTTTTAAAGAAAAATTGTTCTAGTCTGAATACTCTACAGTAATCAGTAAAAATAGTCTAAAATGGTTTAAACTTACATTTGTACATAAGGTATCTGGCTATCCTCTTGGAAATACTGGTGTTGTCGCCCATGCCTAACATTGAGCAAAATGGGGTCACAATTTGCAGTCACTGCACTTGGAAGAATGGGATGATTGATGTTTCATAACAGCATTAACCATAACATTTTATTTAAAATTCCAGCTTCCCACAGTAGATGAATGATGTTGGTGTATACATTTAGTTATTTGAAAATGGGCGAAACATCTTACTTTGTGTATTTATATTTTAACGTAACTGGATCAACTGCTAGAAGAACCATTATCATCATCTTTTCCAGTACTGAAACCTATTGAGACATGCTACTACAAAACTGAAACCTTACTTTGTTTGAGAAATCTTCCCAAAGCTATTTTTCTTTAGTCAACATTATAAGATGTTTTATTGGAATCCAGTCAGAAGTCATCCTGTCAACATTTTCTTCCCAATTTATTTTATATGAAGCTAGTGTCATCTATGACGTGTTGACATGTATAACTGTAGCAGTTTGACATCTGGGAGGAATGTACTGCTTCCATGTTCAAGGTAAAGAGTAAGTCAAGGAAACAAAACTGTGTCCTGACTTCTTCTTCCTGGTTGCTTGCTTGGCTTATTCTTGAGCTGTGAAAACAGAAACAGTATATTGCTATAAAGGATCTGTAAACTTCTGCTGGCCAACAGAGTGTCACATCCCAGATGACAGTGTTCATATTCACCACAGTGAGAACCTGAAATCCTGCTCATTCAGTATTTTTCCATAAATTCTGTTATATATGGAATTTGTAATTCTTTCATAAGTTCATCATTTGTAGTCCAGTCTTGTTCATGTAATACCTTGAAGACAGTTAGAGAATACAGAATGAAAACAGTTGAGTCAGCTTACAATACTTAAAAAGTGCAGCTCATCGAACATTTCAACTAAGGGCACTCTTGCCAGCAACAATCATGCTGTGAATATCCTCTGTTCATCATTTATTGGTTCCTTTCAGTTTTACATCTCATGATTTAGGATCACACAGAATGTTAAGTTAATTAAGAACTGTGTATTGGTTAAAAGGATAGTGCTTGCTACCATTCACTTCAGAATATTTTTATTCTTGGTTGCTTAAAAATATAAAGATTAAAGTATTCAGCACTATAATTTTGCTTTTAGATTTTTATGGATGTGAAATTTTGCTCACACATTAAGGGAAGCACATAGAGTGAGGGTGTTTGTGAACAAAGTGCTGAGGAGAATATTTGGACCCAAGACTAATGAAATGATAATGAGGCTGGAGAAAACTGCACAGTGAGGAGCTCCATAACTTGTACCCTTCACCAGATATAATCAGAATAATCATGTCAAGAAGACTGAGATGGGTGGGGCACATAGCATGCATGAGAGAACAGGAATGCATACAGGGTTTTGATGTGAAAGCCTGAAAGGAAGTGACTACTAGGAAGACAGAGATGTATATGGGAAGATAATATTAAAATGGATCTTAGAGAAATAAGATGGGGTGGTATGAACTGGATTCATCGGGCTCAGGATAGAGACCAGTGATGGGCTGTCATGAACATGGTAATGAAGTTTCAATTCCATGAAATATTGAGAAATTTTTGGGTAGCCAAGCAACTTTTGGTTTCTCAAGAAGGATTTGGTACCATGGAATTAGTTAGTCAGTTAGCATTGTATAAGAATGAGGAAGGTATAATTGTGATATATTTTAGCCTTTATCATCCAGGAATTTGGGATTTTGTATCTCCTTCTACTACAGGGCTGGCAGCTGGATATTAACTTCGGAACAATTATATTAGTATTGAAAGAATGCAATGCTTGACAAGTTGGACTGTGAACATGTACCATTAACCCTTTAATAACTGAAGTTCTTTTAAATAATATAGAAACTGAGTTCGCCCCTTGCAGGAAACATTATCTCCATTACAAATACCAACCAGTTAATGCTGTCAGGGAAATAGTCACTGTTTATTATGAGAAACACCAAAATACCTAAATGCAATCCTATGGGCAGAATGCAGAGCTTTTTTAGTGTTAAAGCAGGTGGTATATATAATAAGAACTGGCTTTGGCTGTGCCATAGCTCAAGCGGTTAGTCGCTGGCTTCCCACCGCAGTGGCCCAGGTTCGATCCCGGGTCTGGTCAAGTGGGATTTGTGGTGGACAAAGTGGCGCTGGGGCAGGTTTTCTCCGAGTACTTCAGTTTCCTCTGCCAATCTTCACTCCACCAGTTGCTCCACAATCACCCTCACCTATCATCTGGGGCTGGTACAATAGGCCAGAAGTGGCCGCAGTACAAGGGACTTAGTCCCACCCCACTAGCAATAAAAAAAAAAGGAACTGGCTTTAAAGGGTTAAAATGTTGAAATGCACAACCAGTATACAATATATAAATATTCTAGAATTTTCTTGGAGGAACTGAGGGAAATAAGTAAAATAATAAATCATGGAGGCAATCTTTAGTCATATTGACTATACTGAGCTAGCTCATTTCATTGTACTTTACACAAATATGCTGCAGTTTAGAGACTCACAACTCTGGGGAGGTCTGTAAAAGTATTAAACTGCTTTAATGGAAGTCTGCAAGCAAATAGACCCTCCACCCTGAACAAAGTCCTGATGGCACCCTGGACCTACCCAATAAATTTTTGCAGAGACCCAAATATCAGAATCCACTAACTAGAATCATGGATGAGTTGAGGAGACAGATGGACAGATGTCACATGGGTTCATTTTAAACACGTTGACCATGAAACTATGATAATCCATACATTTGTAGACACTACTTTCCTAATAATTTGTAATTGAGGTTAATTAGTATGTTAACAATATTCATTACATGTTACATATCTGTGAGACCTGGGATAACTTAGTCAGGATAGTAGTTGGGGTATGGGCTGAACAACCAAGGAATCATAGTTTGTTTCCCAAAAGGCACAAGAGCTTTTTCTCTTTGCCACAATGTACAGACTGGCTCTGGGACCATCCAGCATCCTGTCCAATGACTATGTGGATCGTGGAGTTCAAGTACATGGGGCATGAAACTAACCACTCATATCCATTTAGTGTCAGGATTAAAAATGTATACCTCCATTCTCCATACACCTTCATGACATAGTGGTTTGGAAAGGGGTCTCCTTTCTGCACAAGAAGCCAAACTTTGGAACATTTTACTTAAGTTTTTATGAAGAACATAAATTACAAGCATTTAAATATTATTCATATATTTGATTATGGTTTATCTAATGTCACTGTCAGTATCTCAAGAACATGTAGCATCAAATGATAGGATGATTAGTGAATAATGAATAAGAAGAGACGTGGAAGGAAGTGGCCATGGCATAATTTGAGGTACTATCCCAGAATTTGCTTTAAGGGACTGGGAAAATATAATAAATATCAATCAGGATTATCAGCAACCTGGCTGAGATTCAAACCAAGCACCTCTTAATTACAACTCGTGCATCGCCTCTTTATCCATCTTGCTGTGTGATTTCTTTTAGAAGTAAATCAGTAAATTGCAAAGGTATGAAGATACTCGTGTGGTAGCTACTACAACAGTATCTATATATATATGGGAAGCTGGAATAGACTTGAAGACTTTGATTCTGTGTAATTTTGTAAATGGGTACCACTGTTTTTGAGAGGGACCTGCTGTCTCCTTTGTCTACACTGGAGATTAAAGCAGCAGGATCCTCTGGAATGTTGGTACCCATTTACCAATCTACATAGTGTCACATACCAGTAGGCCATAACCTTAATACTCACTGCCATGAGAATCTTGGATTTCACATGGAACAAAAATGTAATTCTCCAGGCTCGCCACTGTGACATAACGTCATCAGAACATATTTTTTTGGCATTGTACCTTTATCTTTGTTTACATATGACTGTTAATGCAGGAAACATAAATTGTGAGGGACAGTATAATGCAAACAGGGTAGAGAATGTGACTAGCACTAACTCCACAACATTATGGAATGTAGGGCTCATATGGTGCACATATGTGTGTGTGTGTGAATGTATGACAGATGTGTAAGTGTATGTACTGTGTTTAATAATTGTTTTCACTGTAAAAAGATTTAAATATTTTTTTTATTTGTCATTTTGAGAATGAGTATTTGTTTGCTTATATTTGTTGCTTCAGTCGCATCAACACCTTGATATACCTGCCTTAAACGTGAATGTTCTACAGTGGATCCTTCTTGTACTGTAGTTTTCTTATTCTTGTCCCCTGACATTGATAGAATTTTGTTTTTATGTATCTACGAGTAAGAATGTTACAGGCAGTGAGCAATATACATTCTCTGTGGAAAATAAATGCTGCATGATGAATACTCGCTGATTTACCTTTATCCAGATAATCTGTGCTTAATTTATAAACAGTCAAAGCTAATGAAAAGTTACCGTGAAGGAAAGAAAAACAACATGTTACTTCTTTTAAGAAGAAAGGAT